TATATATATATATATATATGCATATGCAATTGACGATCACAAAACACTGATCATTTTATGCGGAAAATCCACAGAGAAATATGAAATGAGGTGAACGTTTCGGCTTGTTAAAGCCTTTGTCAACACCAGACTGACTAAGGAGAAGGGAGAAGGGGGAGGATATATAGGCCGACACCTGACCAACCCATCCCTAGGGAAAATTGTAAGTCCTTACAATTGCGGTTGTCACAACATGCTTATAGTATTAGAACTGCCCAAACGTCTAATGCATTGTATCTACATACGAGTTTATGCGATCACAATATTAACTGGAATGGGGCAAAAAGCATTACCAATTGTGGGGATTTCGTGGAACGGAATTTGATTGAGTCTGCTCTAATCAGTCAGTGTCCAAATCTTCTTAATGTTAGTACTGGTATGTACAAACTTGATCCATTTTTAAGTTATAATATTGCACAACAGTTTAAGAAACAACTCTGATAGAGAGGCTTACAATGTCTCATTATAATTGTATATTCATATATTGTGTGTTCATGAGGGTTTTCTTTATTCTTTCATCCTTATTCTCTGACCGCTTAATCCTCTTTGACCATTCTAAGCTAAGCTATACCTGTTTTTGGTTAATTCTTTCCCTAGGGATGGGTTGGTCAGGTGTTGGCCTATATATCCTCCCCCTTCTCCCTTCTCCTTAGTCAGTCTGGTGTTGACAAAGGCTTTAACAAGCCGAAACGTTCACCTCATTTCATATTTCTCTGTGGATTTTCCGTATATATATATATATATATATATATATATATATATATATATATATATATATATATATATATATATATATATATATATATATATATATATATATATATATATATATATATATATATATATATATATATATATATATATATATATATATATATATATATATATATATATATATATATATATATATATATATATATATATATATATATAACTTTTTAGACACTCAACCCACCAGGAGACTCGAACACTGGCCAACAAGGTGGCAGTTGCATGCTGTATCCACTACGCTATACTTCAAAGCCATTAAGAGAGGTAGGAATTCTGGGGTATTTAACCAACCAGAATTCCAATCCTCTCCCAGGCGATGAGATAGTGTGGGACCTCGGATGCTCTTTCATCGGTTCCTGTTATATGGGAAAACTCAGTGCCAAATGCTTAATGCACAGACTACCCTATTCCAGTAGCTGAAGTTTATAACTTTTTAGACACTCAACCCACCAGGAGACTCGAACACTGGCCAACAAGGTGGCAGTTGCATGCTGTATCCACTACGCTATACTTCAAAGCCATTAAGAGAGGTAGGAATTCTGGGGTATTTAACCAACCAGAATTCCAATCCTCTCCCAGGCGATGAGATAGTGTGGGACCTCGGATGCTCTTTCATCGGTTCCTGTTATATGGGAAAACTCAGTGCCAAATGCTTAATGCACAGACTACCCTATTCCAGTAGCTGAAGTTTATAACTTTTTAGACACTCAACCCACCAGGAGACTCGAACACTGGCCAACAAGGTGGCAGTTGCATGCTGTATCCACTACGCTATACTTCAAAGCCATTAAGAGAGGTAGGAATTCTGGGGTATTTAACCAACCAGAATTCCAATCCTCTCCCAGGCGATGAGATAGTGTGGGACCTCGGATGCTCTTTCATCGGTTCCTGTTATATGGGAAAACTCAGTGCCAAATGCTTAATGCACAGACTACCCTATTCCAGTAGCTGAAGTTTATAACTTTTTAGACACTCAACCCACCAGGAGACTCGAACACTGGCCAACAAGGTGGCAGTTGCATGCTGTATCCACTACGCTATACTTCAAAGCCATTAAGAGAGGTAGGAATTCTGGGGTATTTAACCAACCAGAATTCCAATCCTCTCCCAGGCGATGAGATAGTGTGGGACCTCGGATGCTCTTTCATCGGTTCCTGTTATATGGGAAAACTCAGTGCCAAATGCTTAATGCACAGACTACCCTATTCCAGTAGCTGAAGTTTATAACTTTTTAGACACTCAACCCACCAGGAGACTCGAACACTGGCCAACAAGGTGGCAGTTGCATGCTGTATCCACTACGCTATACTTCAAAGCCATTAAGAGAGGTAGGAATTCTGGGGTATTTAACCAACCAGAATTCCAATCCTCTCCCAGGCGATGAGATAGTGTGGGACCTCGGATGCTCTTTCATCGGTTCCTGTTATATGGGAAAACTCAGTGCCAAATGCTTAATGCACAGACTACCCTATTCCAGTAGCTGAAGTTTATAACTTTTTAGACACTCAACCCACCAGGAGACTCGAACACTGGCCAACAAGGTGGCAGTTGCATGCTGTATCCACTACGCTATACTTCAAAGCCATTAAGAGAGGTAGGAATTCTGGGGTATTTAACCAACCAGAATTCCAATCCTCTCCCAGGCGATGAGATAGTGTGGGACCTCGGATGCTCTTTCATCGGTTCCTGTTATATGGGAAAACTCAGTGCCAAATGCTTAATGCACAGACTACCCTATTCCAGTAGCTGAAGTTTATAACTTTTTAGACACTCAACCCACCAGGAGACTCGAACACTGGCCAACAAGGTGGCAGTTGCATGCTGTATCCACTACGCTATACTTCAAAGCCATTAAGAGAGGTAGGAATTCTGGGGTATTTAACCAACCAGAATTCCAATCCTCTCCCAGGCGATGAGATAGTGTGGGACCTCGGATGCTCTTTCATCGGTTCCTGTTATATGGGAAAACTCAGTGCCAAATGCTTTGAAGTATAGCGTAGTGGATACAGCATGCAACTGCCACCTTGTTGGCCAGTGTTCGAGTCTCCTGGTGGGTTGAGTGTCTAAAAAGTTATAAACTTCAGCTACTGGAATAGGGTAGTCTGTGCATTAAGCATTTGGCACTGAGTTTTCCCATATAACAGGAACCGATGAAAGAGCATCCGAGGTCCCACACTATCTCATCGCCTGGGAGAGGATTGGAATTCTGGTTGGTTAAATACCCCAGAATTCCTACCTCTCTTAATGGCTTTGAAGTATAGCGTAGTGGATACAGCATGCAACTGCCACCTTGTTGGCCAGTGTTCGAGTCTCCTGGTGGGTTGAGTGTCTAAAAAGTTATAAACTTCAGCTACTGGAATAGGGTAGTCTGTGCATTAAGCATTTGGCACTGAGTTTTCCCATATAACAGGAACCGATGAAAGAGCATCCGAGGTCCCACACTATCTCATCGCCTGGGAGAGGATTGGAATTCTGGTTGGTTAAATACCCCAGAATTCCTACCTCTCTTAATGGCTTTGAAGTATAGCGTAGTGGATACAGCATGCAACTGCCACCTTGTTGGCCAGTGTTCGAGTCTCCTGGTGGGTTGAGTGTCTAAAAAGTTATAAACTTCAGCTACTGGAATAGGGTAGTCTGTGCATTAAGCATTTGGCACTGAGTTTTCCCATATAACAGGAACCGATGAAAGAGCATCCGAGGTCCCACACTATCTCATCGCCTGGGAGAGGATTGGAATTCTGGTTGGTTAAATACCCCAGAATTCCTACCTCTCTTAATGGCTTTGAAGTATAGCGTAGTGGATACAGCATGCAACTGCCACCTTGTTGGCCAGTGTTCGAGTCTCCTGGTGGGTTGAGTGTCTAAAAAGTTATAAACTTCAGCTACTGGAATAGGGTAGTCTGTGCATTAAGCATTTGGCACTGAGTTTTCCCATATAACAGGAACCGATGAAAGAGCATCCGAGGTCCCACACTATCTCATCGCCTGGGAGAGGATTGGAATTCTGGTTGGTTAAATACCCCAGAATTCCTACCTCTCTTAATGGCTTTGAAGTATAGCGTAGTGGATACAGCATGCAACTGCCACCTTGTTGGCCAGTGTTCGAGTCTCCTGGTGGGTTGAGTGTCTAAAAAGTTATAAACTTCAGCTACTGGAATAGGGTAGTCTGTGCATTAAGCATTTGGCACTGAGTTTTCCCATATAACAGGAACCGATGAAAGAGCATCCGAGGTCCCACACTATCTCATCGCCTGGGAGAGGATTGGAATTCTGGTTGGTTAAATACCCCAGAATTCCTACCTCTCTTAATGGCTTTGAAGTATAGCGTAGTGGATACAGCATGCAACTGCCACCTTGTTGGCCAGTGTTCGAGTCTCCTGGTGGGTTGAGTGTCTAAAAAGTTATAAACTTCAGCTACTGGAATAGGGTAGTCTGTGCATTAAGCATTTGGCACTGAGTTTTCCCATATAACAGGAACCGATGAAAGAGCATCCGAGGTCCCACACTATCTCATCGCCTGGGAGAGGATTGGAATTCTGGTTGGTTAAATACCCCAGAATTCCTACCTCTCTTAATGGCTTTGAAGTATAGCGTAGTGGATACAGCATGCAACTGCCACCTTGTTGGCCAGTGTTCGAGTCTCCTGGTGGGTTGAGTGTCTAAAAAGTTATAAACTTCAGCTACTGGAATAGGGTAGTCTGTGCATTAAGCATTTGGCACTGAGTTTTCCCATATAACAGGAACCGATGAAAGAGCATCCGAGGTCCCACACTATCTCATCGCCTGGGAGAGGATTGGAATTCTGGTTGGTTAAATACCCCAGAATTCCTACCTCTCTTAATGGCTTTGAAGTATAGCGTAGTGGATACAGCATGCAACTGCCACCTTGTTGGCCAGTGTTCGAGTCTCCTGGTGGGTTGAGTGTCTAAAAAGTTATAAACTTCAGCTACTGGAATAGGGTAGTCTGTGCATATATATATATATATATATATATATATATATTTAATATTTATATATATTCAACAGGCAAGTTGAAGTTTGCTATCTTTGCAATATAGAATTTGAGAAAGTTTTGGGATTCCAGCAAGGCTGCAGTTGTCTTGTGATAAAAGTAGAACCACCCAGAAAATGTTTTACTCAAAGTATATCAATATTAGATAAATTTTTCATGTAATAATTTTTACTTACAGGGGATTCTTCAGGTCCCATTCTGTCATCCACTGAAGACTCGGATTCTGCTTTGATTGCAGAGAAACGTCACCACCACCACCTTCATCGGCATTCATCTTCCATTCTTTTGCAGCGCACACTTGGTCGAGGCAGAGCTAATATTGTGTCCTCTGATTCTGAATTTGAAACTGAAAATAGGAGACATAGAAGACATGCTCGTCATAACCATCGCTCACATCGACACGAGAGAGACAATGGTATGGGATATGTTTTCTCTACAGTACAGTATAATATTATGTATTTATAAGATGGGTGGTTAAAAAGTTTTGCAGAGGATATAAAGCATAAATATTTAGCAAAGCCACAACTCATTATATTTTTCAATACAGTTTCCCCTGACTTCAGTTGACTTACTCCATATATCTTTTAGACTCATTATGAATGTCATACATATAGTTTATCTTCCTACTGTGCCTCAAACCATACCTTGGTTGTCTGGAAGTGCTCCATCAGTGGCTCCCTGTTATTTACAACTGGTTAGCTCTGCCCAATTAAAATAAAAAACCCACATTTGATGTAATGTCATGTCAATTTCTGGGTGAGCCCCAGTGGCTCCCTGAAGCTACTATCACTGATAGTGTACCGTCTACTAGGTTGCATCAGTCACAAAGTTTTATTTACCAAACGGGCACCAGCGCCAGAACTTGGCCCCCTTAACAGAGGTGTAGAGAACAGTGGCATTTATTTATTTATTTATGCCACCACTAGGGAAACAATCAGAAAGTCAGCAAGTCAAAACATACCATTGCTTCTTTCAGTAAAACCTGCAGCTTTGAGAACCACCATAAAAACTCCTCCGACTATGTAAAGAACCAGTGTTGAATGTAATGAAACACCAATTTCTGGATGAGCTCTGGAGGCTCCTTGAAACTATTACACCCAAACAGTGCCATACTACTAGGTGTCATCAGTCACAGAATTCTTATTGGCCTACTGGGGACCACAAGCCAGAATCAGGTCCCCTCAGAGAGGTGCAGGGAGCGGTGGCCCTATGAAAACTTTGCATTTAAGCCTTAAGTTGCGCATCTCATCATATGATGCTTTGACCGACTTACAGTAAATTGCGCATCACATCATATGTTGCTTTGGAGTACTATGCAATATTTAAACGGCCCGCAGATACACCACAGATATTACAGGAAAGAGATGGTTGGGTTGACTGCATCTATCTGGACCTAAAAAAGGCTTTCGACAGAATTCCACATAAGAGGTTGTTCTGGAAACTGGAAAATATTGGAGGGGTGACAGGTAAGCTTCTAACATGGATGAAAAATTTTCTGACTGATAGAAAAATGAGGGCAGTGATCAGAGGCAATGTATTGGATTGGAGAAATGTCACAAGTGGAGTACCACAGGGTTCAGTTCTTGCACCAGTGATGTTTATTGTCTACATAAATGATCTACCAGTTGGTATACAGAATTATATGAACATGTTTGCTGCTGATGCTAAGATAATAGGAAGGATAAAAAACTTAGATGATTGTCATGCCCTTCAAGATGACCTGGACAAAATAAGTATATGGAGCACCACTTGGCAAATGGAATTTAATGTTAATAAATGCCATGTTATGGAATGCAGAATAGGAGAACATAGACCTCACACAACCTATATATTATGTGAGAAATCTTTAAAGAATTCTGATAAAGAAAGAGATCTAGGGGTGGTTCTAGATAGAAAACTATCACCTGAGGACCACATAAAGAATATTGTGCGAGGAGCCTATGCCACGCTTTCTAACTTCAGAATTGCTTTTAAGTACATGGATGGCGATATACTAAAGAAATTGTTCACGACTTTTGTTAGGCCAAAGCTAGAATATGCAGTGGTTGTGTGGTGCCCTTATCTTAAGAAACACATCAACAAACTGGAAAAGGTGCAAAGACATGCTACTAAGTGGCTCCCAGAACTGAAGGGCAAGAGCTACGAGGAGAGGTTAGAGGCATTAAATATGCCAAAACTAGAAGACAGAAGAAAAAGAGGTGATATGATCACTACATACAAAATAGTAACAGGAATTGATAAAATCGATTGGGAAGATTTCCTGAGACCTGGAACTTTAAGAACAAGAGGTCATAGATTTAAACTAGCTAAACACAGATGCTGAAGAAATATAAGAAAATTCACTTTCACAAACAGAGTGGTAGACGGTTGGAACAAGTTAGGCGAGAAGGTCGTGGAGGCCAAGACCGTCAGTAGTTTCAAAGCGTTATATGACAAAGAGTGCTGGGAAGACGGGACACCACGAGCGTAGCTCTCATCCTGTAACTACACTTAGGTAATTACACTTAGGTAATTACCTTCATCAGGGCTCTTGTAAACAGACGCCATTTCAAAAAAAAAATCGTGGGCCAAATTCCCGGGTGTTAGGGGCCTCAGTATTGAGTGAGCTACCAAACCTGACACACGCAGCATGAGCTCACAGCACTGCTGTTCAGCTTGTGACCACAGCATCGCCTAAAAATGCCATAATATTCTTGTTCATGCTATTATGTAGCGATGATATTATTACAGAAGACCCCTGACTGTGATAAAACTGACCAGGGTTCTGATAATAGCAGGATTGTGGTGATATTTAGCACTGTGCTCCATGGAGGGAGGAGTAATGCTGTAGGAGGGAGAGTGGTGGCGTTGTCTTCTGACTGTGTGTGGCCACCTTTTATTGACTGCACTCACCATACCAGCTTAGTGGTTCGCTATGGTGAACACAAATGTAGATACTTATATGTAACGTGTGCATAGAGGGTATAAACAGCAATAGGAGTAGGTTGGGAGCCGCCATTTTGGTGAGGGAGGTGGAGTCGTCTGCACGACTTATCATGTTGTTTACTGGTGACCACTATGGTCTTTGGGCACCATACCAGTTTACTTGTACAAGTATGGTGAATAAAACAGGTAGATACTTATATATAATGTGTGTATATAGTGTAATAACACCACAAACAGTATTGTGGGAGGAGAAATATTTGTGCGTCTGGCCTTGAGGGCGGCCGCCACCAGCTGACTGTGTGAGTAGCTACGTCTTTGTGCCTTTACTCACCATACAAGCTTAGATGTACAGTTATGGTGAACAAAACATGTAAATACTTATATATAACGTCTGTATATAAAAGCAAAAACAGAAAATTTTGTTTTCAGAATTCAGAAATCATAAAAAAAGCAAAAAAATGGTGGGAGGAGAATGGTGGCAAGTCAGGTATGGTGAGGGAGGGAGGGAGGGAGTGGCAGCCAGTGGCGGGCTGCCACTGCCACTCAGCATACCAACTTAGTGGTTCGTTATGGTGAACACGAATGTAGATACCTATATATATAGTGTCTGTATATAGTGAATAAAAGCAAAAAAGTATTGTGGGAGGAGAATGTGGGTGAGTCAGGTGACTTGAGGGAGGGAGGAAGTAGCAGCCAGTGGCGGGCAGTGGAGGTTGCTGTGCTTCTGTGTTGCTTTGGGTCAGTGGTTGCAGCCTGCTGTTTTGACTTCGAGTTGAGGTGCGAGCACAGACCGTTTCCTGGGTAAGTCCCTCTAGTTTCATCTTTGGTGATGTAGCTCCGGGAAGCTGAAGGGGCTCCCCCCAGAAAACCAGCATTGAATGTAATGAAACACCATTTTCTGGGTGAGACCCAGAAGCTCCCCGGAAACTCCCCCATCCCCCGGTCTTTTTTTTATGTGTTTTTGACATTTAGCCTCAAAACTGTGGGGGGGGGGATCGCCAGCGCAGTGGGTCTGGGGCTCCCCCTTCCCCTCCTCCTGGGGAGGGGGAGTTCTGTCCACTTGTTTGTCTATTTTAGTCGTTTTAACCAGAATAAGGTTTAGTTTTGAGGCGCTTATCTTTCTGGGTGATTGGCTCGGTCAATGGCAAACACAGAATGTTCCAAATCTCATGTGCAGTTCTATAGGCCATTGCTCCTTGTGCTTCTCTGAGGGGCGCCAGGTTCTGACTCGTGGTCCCTGGCAGGCCTAAAACTCCATTCACATTGACTGATGCTAAATTCTAATGATATACAAATCAGCCTGAATAGCTCCGGGGAGCCTCCAGGTCTTACCCAGAAAATGGTGTTTCATTACATTCAATGCTGTTTTTTTTTTTTCAAGAAAGAAGGTTGACTTATTTACGAACTGAGATTTGTACTTTATTTCATAAATTTGAATTTTTAATTATGTGGGTAAAGATTTCTGTGCTTCATGGCTAACAGCATGTTTTCTCTTATCTTATGTAGGACGCCACAAAGCATTGGTTAATTCTCATCGGTCAAGTCCATGGTTGGCTCAGCTTCATTCAGAATATTTGTCCCTTGGCCTGACTTCTCCCTGGTCTTTGAGTCGCAATTGCGATATTAACCAACAAGATGCATATGGGCGGTCAGCACTGCACTATGCCACTGAACAAGGCCATACATATATTGTTCACATGCTCATCAAATCAGGTAAATCATATGAGTTCCTTATAGATTATCGCTGATTTTTCTTCAGTATTTTCTGGAAGGAGCTCCTTGGTGGCTCCTGGTATCTTGCTGAGATAGCTCCCCACTACTGGGTCATATCAGTCACAAGACTTGTTTGGCCTACCGTAGACTAGAGCCAGAACCTGGCTGCCACCTACATAAGTATAGAGAACAGGGGGACTATTATTATCACCCTCATAGGGAAAGCATACATAAAGTCAGCGAAGTGATTGAGTATCTAGTTGTTAAACACTTGGCGGGTCGTATTCTAGAGAAACTAGTTGGTAAGACTTACCATAAGCTATGAGATGGGAAAGCTCTCAGCCTGCTAACAGAAGTCAGCAACCCCTCTGTTCCTTGTACCCCTCCTGTGTAAAAAAAAAAAAAATTGGTTCACTCTAAACTAGCTTGAATCTGATATTTGGAAAAATGCTAACATAGTTCCAGTCTAGAAAAATGGTAGTAGGGTAGCCCATTTTAATTATAGTCCTGTATCATTGACAAGCATAGCAGTCAAAACATTTGAAAATAAATAATTAAATGGGTTGAACCACATGGGTTGAACCATATTCAACCACATGGGTTGAACCATATTCAACCACATGGGTTGAACCATATTCAACCACATGGGTTGAACCATATTCAACCACATGGGTTGAACCATATTCAACCACATGGGTTGAACCATATTCAACCACATGGGTAGAAGACATGAAAAGAAATTGTACATTAACAGACAGACAGTGTGGTTTTCAATTGGGAAGATCCTGTGTAAGAAATCTTAGTTTCTATGGTAGGGCCACATAAATTTTACTAGAAAAAGATGGTTGGATTGACTGCATTTATCTGGGCTTAAAAATAACCAAAGTTGAATGTAATTAAATGTTAGTTTCTGGGTGACCCGCAGAGGTTCCCTGAAGCTATTCCACTGATGTAGTGTTATCCTATTTGGGGTCATCAGTCACAGAGGTCTTGTTGTCTACTGGGGACCAGAGCCAGAGCTTGACCCCCTCAGAGAGGCACAGGGAGCAATGGCCTATGAACACTTTACATTTCAGTATATCATACTTGCTATTGACCAGGAAAGGCACCCAGTAAGGTAGGAAAAACAAGAGCCCACTGGGGAAAATTGCGAGCTACGTTCTCAAAAGAGCAAAAGAACTCCTCCAGGAAGAAAACAAACAAGCAACACTTCATCCAACTAGCCCCCAGCTTATTAGTGCCACCCCCTCCCCCAGTGGAATGGGTAGGGGGGGGTTTAGAACTACCCACCCTCCAGTACATAAATGATGACAGCTGCCAACCCAAGGGAGGGAGGGGGTCAAGAGAGCCTTTAGGGCTCACCCAAAAATTGGCTTTTCATTAAATTCAATGCTGGTTTTCTGTGGGGGACCCTGTCGACTCCCTGAATCCAACTACCCACAGAGAGAAAAAAAAAAACTTACCAGGGAGGCAGCAGCACCGCAGGTCTCAAAATGAGGAATAGACAGTCGGCTGTGAACAGGTACCCCAAGACAATACAAGGCCGCAAAGAGCCTACCTTGCAATGATTTCGGGGCTCTCTGTCCCTGCGGCCCGGTCCTTGACCAGGCCCGGGACGTTCACATGATACCTGATTGCCAGGACTCTCTTTGATCTCCAAAACCCCACGCCCGTATATTGTTCCAAGACATATTACCAAAGATTGCCAAAAGAGTGGCATAATTCCTAACATCATGGGCACGAGGGTAGACCGCAGGCTGGCTAGCCTTAATGACACTGCAGACAACCTGAGATACTCGAGCCCTGGAACAGGTAACCAGGGAAACCAGATCAACTCGGAGCGTGTCCACCGACAGAGAACCGGTGGCCCACAGGTAGCAGTGCAAAAAAAGCACTCTCAAGCTGAACCAACCAGGCATCCACAACCAACGGACTTCTCCGAAAACCTGCCATCTCATTCTTTGCAAGAAAAGGAGGAGATGGCTGCAAACGAACAAAACGACCACCAGGACCAAATGAACAAAACCTCTGGTTCCAGAAAGAAGCATGAAGCTCCCCAACCCGACCCCCAGAGGCCAAAGATAATAAAAAGAAAGCTTTCCAGAAGCAATCATCAACCGAAGGGCCTATCACAAACCGAGGCAAAGAAAGAAAGGAAAGAGCTCGGTTCAAAGACCAAGAAGGCTCGGGCGGCACATGAGCAGACCAGAGATGGAAAAATACAAGAGAAAGCTTGTGGAACAGGGTGGAAGTGACATCCACCCCCCACCAGAAACAGGGGGTCCATGACCGACGCCATAGATACTAAAAACACACCAGTAGATGTGAGAAGCAAGCAGACTAGATCTAGAAAAACTCCGCCCAGAAGCAGAAAACCCAGGCAGGGGCAAACATCCCCAGAACTGCTAGCAGGCATCCCCCACAACCCCGGGAACCTGCAACAGAGGCCCCGGGGCAGAGCCATCCTTCACGCCCTCTGCCCTTAGAGAAAAGGAAGAGTCCAGGGGAAAGGCAGCAAGAAAGGGCTGCTGGTAAGACCCAAAAGCCTTGGCAAGAGGAACCAGGCTCGAAAACCTCCGTCCCCAACCCGAACGAGGCAGCCCCCGAAACCGCCCGAGTCTTGGCTCCAACTAAACCCCACCCCGACCCCGAAACCCGCAGACGGTCAGGAGCCGGGAACAGGGAGGGAAAGGGCAAACAGCACCTAACCAAAACGGGGCGGCCTCAGGACATCTGATTGGAAAGCCAACCTAGCACGTTGCAGCAACTTAAACCAAGCTTGCAACGCAGATGCCGCCTGTATTCTGAACAGTAATAACATCAGGAGAGTACTGGAGAACAAGCAGAGAACACAACTCTCAAGACTCCGGCCCAACAGACAGCATGACGGAGGTAAAAGTGGCGACTTTCACCCTGAGACATGAAACACACAGAAACCACTGAACCCGCACAAGACTGGTTGGAACCCGGAAGACACATTCAATGGTCCACTGAGCCCCGACAGGGTTTTCCAGGGGCCCGTAGGGTAACAACTACGGGAAGCCCGGGCAAGGGGCTGCTAACCAGTTAAAACCCAAAACTAACAAGGGGTAGAGGACAACACTAAAAACCACTGCGACGTGTACAATCACAGGGGCCTAGCAGAGGGCCACCAAACACTACCAGTGAAACTCGAGCCACACTAGGTAGACCCCTACCAGGCAAATGAAAATATAAACAATAGAAAACCCCCACAAAAGTACACCGTCCCCAGAGGCAACAGGAACCGGTCGCCGTGTAGGTGGCAGGTTGCGCAACACCTTGAAGCCCTAACCAGCACAATACCAGTCCCTACCCAGGGCGAAACAAGGGCCCCAAGCCCCAGCTGGTCCCAATGGCGAGGCAAATGCTGAGCAGCAAGAACCTCCACGGGAATGGTTCCCGAACGCCCCAGGGAAGATAACCCTGTCACGCAGGGGCAGTACTCACACGGTGCTTAGGGAAGGAAGCCCCTAAGCGCATGCAGCCCAGGTACTGATGAGGAGCACCTGGCCACCACACAACACAACACACGGCAGTGAATGCCACAAAAGGCAAACACCGCGTAGGAAACTGAGGCCAGAGAAGTGTCTGTCTCGGTTGACATTAGCTTACGAACTGATGCTAGGCAGCTGGTGCGGTAAGGTACGGGGCCACCCTCCCCCCTCTCAGGGCAGGGAGGGCTGCACGGATGATCAGCGAGGCAGTAAAGTGTGATGTTAGCTTGTTTGCTTGTTTCCTTGGGATTGTAGGGAGTTTCTACCTCTCTGTTCGGTTTTCTGTTTTAGTTTTTTACCATGTGGAGTTTGCTTTGTTATGCCTGCCTTTCTGGGTGCCTAATCCTGGTCGATGGCAGATAAGGAAAACCCCAACCACAAGGGGTTTTCCAGGGCCATTGCTCCCTGAAACCTCTCTGAAGGGGCCAGGTTCTGGCGCTGCTTCCTGGTAGGTCTGAACTCCTTAGCTAATGTTCTGGTCTAATATAACATACATTAGCCCGATAAGCTCCAGGGAGCTGTAGTGGCTCCCCACAGAAAATCTTTTTTTTCCAGAGATTTTATTTCCTAGCCACGGGGGGGATGTCATATTTGGAAGCCGAGCAGTTGAGGAGGTTAAGGGTTACGGGGAAACCTTGATAAAAGCTTATGAGTATAAATAAACTCTGGCTTCTTGTCCCCCAACACAATGAATTATTATTATTAAATTATTATGTGGAAGTGAAACTTGGATATGGAAAGGGGAAAACTGATCTAGAGTATTAGCAGTGGAAATGAGGAAGTATATGAGAGATATGATAATAGTAAAATAGGTGAGGGAATAGAATGTAGCACTGTGGAGTCATTGAAGCATTGTACACTTAAGTGAAAGGACATCTTAGGAGAATGCCTGAGAATCGTTTAACGAGAAGCATGTACAAGAGTGAAATAAAGGGATTATGCGGTAGAGGTAGATGACCAGTGTTCTGAAAAAGTGAATCATGTGTAAGAAAGTGTAGGAAGGAGAATGAATTTTAAAGGTTTATGGTAATTAAGCTTCATAGTGAAACTTTTGCTGTAGACATCCCTTGATGGGAAGCTCTTTAGGAAGGTGGTTGAGTGGTGGAGGAGCAAGGTGTTAGGGGTAATAAATAGATATTAACTAAAAATTAAGGACATAAGGCAACAATAACTACAGCTTGAAATGGATTAGTAATGTAAAGACGTGAGAGTTACTACACTACAAGAATTAAATATAATTAATTAAGAAGTATTACAGTAAAAGATATAGCAATCAATAGCAAATGTGGAATTGTTTGATTTGGCTAATTTAACAATCTTTATTCAGAATACTGTACTGAACATATTTGTTGAAGTGTAGTTGTCTTTTCCTTAAAGGCGTTCGAATAGACACCCCAGATGCAGAACACATGACTGCCCTCCACCTTGCAGCACAGCGAGGGCTAGCAGAGGTCATCACATTGCTGCTGGAAGGAGGAGCAAAAGTCAATACAAAAATGAATGATAAGGTAATTGATTTTAAACTTTTTGTGTTAAGTCATATATGACATTCTTAAGTACAGTATAATTATGTATTGATAAAAGTATCTTCAGGTAAAAACACTATTTTCAGATGGGTCAGGCACAGGAGCTAAGGAATAACTGATTTCTTAAAATGTGATGCCAAAGTCTCCATAGTAAAAAATGAAAAACCCAGCATTGAATGTAATGAAAGACCTCTTTTTGATAGAGCCCTGGTGGCTTCCTGTAGCTATCCTTTTGAGATTAGTACATACAGTGGTACCTCGGAATGCGAGTGTCCCTGTATGCGAGTTTTTCGGAAGACGAGCAGGATTTACTCCAAAAATATGTCTCGGAAGGCGAGGGTTACCTCGGGACACGAGTTTGTTGATACGTGTACAGGCCGACTGGCGCGTGGTGGCATGGCGATCGCGCCTCAGTTTACCAGTGTCTCGTGTCCAGTGACTATCCCACCTGAATTCTTCACAAGGATTTACAGTTTTTTATCGTTTTTTTGGCCATTTGAGCATAAAAGTTGTCATTATATATCTTGCCATGGGTCTCAAGAAAGCCATTGGTAAGGTTCAACCTAAGAAAATAGCTGTGAGTAGAGGCAGTAGAGGATGTCCCTTCTTGATTAAGAAAATGTGTGAAGTATGGGAAGAACTGCAAAGTTTTGTTGAAAAAACTCACCCAGATAAAGTTGTAGCAGGCCGTTGCATTGACCTTTTAAATGATAATGTGATGTCTTAATACAGACAAGTGTTAAAATGTAGGGAAAAACAAGTGTCATTAGACAAATTCTTAGTAAAACAAGCAAGTCCTAGTGGTATGCAGGCAAAATGTGGCAGTGTGTGCACACCAGTGAAGTCCTCACTGCCTGATGTGATAATGGAAGGGGACTCCCCTTCCAAACAGTAACTCCTCTCTTCCTCCCACCTCCTCACCATCTTCCATACGCCTACAGCAATCAACAGCAAGGTAAGTAATAACTTGAACATAGTTTTGTAGGTTTATTTAGATGAATTAGGTATAAAAATTTAGTTTGATGTGGGGTTTTTGGGGTAGTCAGGAACGGATTAATTCATTTCCCTTTATTTCTTATGGGGAAATTAGCTTCGGAATGCGAGTTTTCGGAATACGAGGCGTCTCCAGGAACCAATTAAACTCTTAAACTGAGGTATGCCTGTACTACAAGTTACATCAGTTGTGGGAGTTCTGTTTGGCATCCCAGAGACCAGAGCCAGATCCTAACCTCACAGAGGTCCACTGAATTCAAAAGACTTAAGCCCTGAAACTCCAAACGATTCAAACGAAGCAAGATAATTTACTTGGAACTAGCTCAAGCCTGTTAGTACCAATCACTGACTTCACTTGAACTTGCGAGAACATAGAACATGCAATGGCCTTTAATACCCATTGTGCCATTGACCCACTTGTTCATCTCAATCATGGTCTGTATCACCTCACCCCAAGCGAATATAAGCATTGGGGTGGAGAAACATTGGGGAGGAGAAGCTCCTCCTAGTCCTTCCCTTTCTGTTGTGCATACTTCCTTCCCCTTGCTTTCGGCTCCGAACCGTCGGCGGGTTTCGGGGCTGGGGCAGGGTCTGGTTGGGTTGAGATTTGGGCGATCTCGGGGGTTTTCTTCTTCCGGGGTGGCGGCTGAGGCATTCGAGCCTGTTCCTCCAGCCGTGCCATATGGGTCTGACCAGTGGGCTCCCTTCCTTAGTGTTTTCTACGGCTGCCCCGGCTTATACTTGTGGGGCTGGGGCTTTGGGGGGAACGACTCGGCTCCGGGTCCTGCCATAGGGGTTCCTGGGGTTACGGAGGGGTTGTCTAGGGGCCCTAGGCCCCGTTTTGTTCCGCTTGGGTTTTTGTACCCTTGGAGCGGGGCATGCAGTTCCTCAGAGTGGGTTTTTCCTTCCTCTCTGCATTCATGTTGGTTTTGGGTTTACCCCTCCCCGGGTTCGGTTCCATGTCCCTTCGGGTCCGTTGGTTCTGTCATTCCTGGGGGTGCTTTTCTCCCTTTTCCTGTCCTTTTCGCGCTTATGTCGCGTAATTGTTCCCTTCGTATTGGGATCCCTGCATGACCCTTGGTTAGGGGGTCTCTTTGGGCCATATGTGCCTCTGTGCATTTGCACTTGATTCTCACGGTTCTCGTTGGTTCGCTGAACCCTTCGATACTTCCAATATTATTGGAACGTCTGTTATCTTCCAGTAAGGCTTCCCTTTAGTCCTTTCTCGGACTCATTGGTCCTCTTCCATGCTTCTTGTGTTCTTTTGATTCTGTTTCTGCATTATTTAGTCTTCACATTGTCTCTCCTTTCTGTCTCGCCATTCCTATTATTCATTCCATATGCCTTGCTGGCGCCCTCTCTGGAAGATCAGTGTGTGGTTCGGTCCTTAGGCGCGGGGGCTGGGAGGTTTGTTTTTGTTTTGAGCGGTGTACACATGTGTTGGTGTTCCTCAGCTTTTTTTGCGGATTCTGCGCCGTTCTCGCTCCTCTTGTCTCCGGTCATAATCCCCTGGATACTCGGTGTTCTGAATTTTGTGTGGAGTGATCTTCTAGTTCTTTTCTCGGTTTGCGAGTGTGGGGTGGCTCCGAGTGGCGCCTCCTCCACCTCTGTTCTGCATGCACCTCGTCTTCTCCTCCTGGGCATGCACCTCTGGACATTCTCCACTAGGGATGCTCCTGTTACATTGCACGGCTCAGCTGTGTCATGACACGGTAGTGTGTCTGTTCTGCAGGTGAGATTGTACTGTCTGGCGACTTTGTCGGGCCAGGTGCTGGTTCTCGCTTTTTGGTGGGGTGTTAGGTGTTGTGTGTTTTGCTTGGACACTTTGTGTGTTTCTTACAGTGACTTTACATTGTCCGTGTATCTTGTTCTTAGTTGTACTGTGGGGTACTGCCCCGAATTTCGGTGCTTTTTGTTTATTTTTTTGGTGCCTGGGTCTTTTCTCGATATTTGGACACTCTTCCCTAGCTCAGTCCGTGCTTTCTGTGTCTTTATTCATTGACTTGTTCTCTGATCTCTGGACACTCCTTCCTTGCCTATCTTCAAAACCTGGCTGCTCCCTTATGTCCATGGTGTCCCTCTGTGTATGTGTGACCAGCCACATAATGCGATGTAGTTGGTTGTGTACATTGCGTTACTGGCTGCTCCTTGGTCCGTTTTTCGAGTCTTTTCCTTGCTTATTTGGGTTGCTGCTTCCTGGCGGCCGTTCCTTCTAGTTCTTTGCCAGCCTTGGTTGGGGCGCTGCTTTCTGGAACGGATTATTTTAATTTAAATTATTTCTTATGGGAAAATTCGTTTTAGTTGACAAATTTTTGGATGACAATGCGTCTCTGGGAACGGATTACGATCGTGAACAAAGGTACCACTGTGTATGTATACCATGCGCACAGGTGGGACATGTTACTCCGGTCGTATATATATGCCATGCACAGCATAAGGGTTAAAGGAACTTGACTGAAATAAAGTCTTTTATGTTTACTTTCAGAGTTCTCCACTACACATTGCTGCTTCAAGAGGTTATACAGATATTGTAGAGACTTTACTAGATCGTGGTGCAAAGATTGATTCACTGGACAGCTCTGATCGTACTGCACTTATCGTGGCTGTCTCTCGCTCAAACTACAAGGTTGTTCAACTGTTACTCAAGAGAGGAGCTAAGGTCAACATAGAGGAGATTCATGGTACTTCATCTTTAGCTCCTAAGGTTTATGAGTTGCAGTAGAGAAAGTAAGATAGTATCTAATTGCTGTATTAACCCCTGCACTGTGCACCTGTTTCATATGACAGGGTTGTGTGTGTGCCATTTAAACTGTAGGGAACTGGATGGAAGGATGGTGGGGGAACTGGATGGATGGATGGTGGGGGGAATGGATGAAGCTACCTGCCTGAGATTGTTTCATACTAAGTGTTTAGATCAGTTGCAGAAATTTCTGTTTGGCCTACTGGGGAGCAGAGCCAGAACCTGGCCACCTCATAAAAGGCGTAGAAAAGAGGTGCCAATCTGCCCCCTCACCAGATAGTCTTCAGAAAATCAATGCAACTTTATAGATAACTGGAGGGTTAACAAAAAATGAAGCCTTTAAAACTGCCTAATAACTCCACAATTGAGTCACATGGAACAAGGGTTTAACTCAAAGAAGCTTGAAATGCATTAGTGCCAATTACCACCATGCAGCCGGTCCCATTTTCCAGCTGGTTCCCCATGTCAGTTCTCTTCCTAATGCCAGTGTCTTCACATCATCTTGTAGTACTTCTGGTCATGCCATCTCAAGGGCAAGCCCTAAATCTTCAAGCAAAGTGCTTGCCATCCTTGGACTTTGTTGTCCTGTGGGGGGGGCCATTGGTTTTTTGTATTGTTTCCTATTTTAGTGTACACGTCACGTGCGAGTCTTGATTCCGGCTTGTTGAGTGGGCTTGATTTGTTGGGTATTTCAGGCCGCATGTGCTCAAAGTACTCTTCCTTTGCAGCTAACACTGCCTTTGCACAGCCAGAGCTTCCCTTCTCTGGTGTGTTTGGGAGTTTGTCCCTGTGAGGCCTATTCATTGGGTGGGGGCCTTGACTTGGACTATTCAGGAATCTTGGATTCCACTGTTTGGTCCCTTAGATGGGGGGCATTTTTTGGTTGGGTTGGGATGCACTGGGGTTTGCGTGCTTGTTTACATAGCACACCACGGCCAATCTCCATAGCATGGTGTTTATGCTGCAGTTGATGTCTGTTCGTCTGGCGAGCGGACCCCAGTGTTGGATACCTACTTAGTTATTTTCTTTCAGACCTAGGAATTTTCTTTGAGTTTCTATCATGGTCTTTATGGAGTGGCCAGTCAAGCCCGACCTTGCTGATTGCGAGTTTGAGAGGTGTTTATCTTTGCTACCTTACAATGATCATTTTTTCTGCCCCCACCATGTTGCCTATTGGGTTGATGATGTTTATGACCCAGAGTCCTGTGAGATGTGTTCTTTCTGACCCTCTGCCTTGACAGATTCCACCTCCCAGTTGGAGGCTTTTCAGGTGACTGCCGTTTTATGTGCAAGGTTTGCCTGTGTTAAGTGTTTTCAGCATATCGATTTGCTGGTTGGCCAGGAGTTGGCTCCTGTGGTGTTTAGGAACCTGGAATTATAGGTGATGATGACTGCCACCTAGATTCTATCTATGCCTCCTCTTCCTTTCTCTATGGATGTGAATGCACTTTGTGGATTAATCCTGTCACCTTGGTCCCCTTTTCCATGGCTTGTCTTTCTGTGGTCATCCACACAGTAATTATGTCTAGCCAGCCAGTCTACCCTCTCGCGCATGACGTTTGGAAGTAATCCACATTCTCAGCTGTCTTTGCAAATGCGTCTTGGGCTAACATTCGGGTGTGGGGGTTTTGGAGGTCACACAAGGCTTTGATGGTCTGATATCTTGTCATTATGCCTGGGTCCCGGCGCCCTTGTGTGGCCTAGGGTCGTCTTTCACTGACAGGAGTTTCTGCTTTGTCCTGATTCCAGTGGTACTTCCTCTTTCCTGATAAGTGCCCTTGTTATTTTCTTTTTCTGTGGGTAGTTAGCTTCAGGGGAACCAGAAGGGATTTCCCCCAGAAAAACAGTGCTGAATGTAATGAAACGCCAATTTCTGGGGAGTCCTGAAGCTCACCCAGCTTGAGGGAGGGTGTCATGGAGCCTTGTGTGGCTCCATGACACCCTCCCTCCCTCCAGGTCGTCAGGGAGTTTGGATCACTCCCTCCAGGTCGTCAGGGAGTTTGGATCATCGTCAAACTGTAGGTGGAGTAGCTGGCTAACCCCTGGCTGTCTCCCATCTTCCCTAAACGAGGGGAAAGGTGGGGCTAATGAGCTGCAGTTAGTTTCTATAGCTGTTCTTGAGGCTTCAATCTCATTTTATGCAAGCAGTGGTTTTTGTTTCGCTGACTTTTTGGGCGCCTTCTGTGATGGTGGTATAAATTAATAACCTAATACATAAATGTCACCACTCCCTGTGCCTCAGTGAGGGGACCAGGTTCTGGCTCTTGGTCCCTGGTAGACCATAGAACTCCATGGCTCATAGGACCTAATTGTATGGAACACTATGAGACAGTAGCTTCAGGGAGCCATCAGGGCTCATCCAGAAATTGATGTTTTATTACATTCAATGTAGTTTTCTGGGGGGAGCCCCTTCAGCTTCCCGGAGCTATCCAGGCTACCTTGCTACCTTGAGGTGCTTACGGGGCTTTAGTGTCCCCGCGGCCCGGTCCTCGACCAGGCCTCCTGGTTGCTGGACTGATCAACCAGGCTGTTAGACGCGGCTGCTCGCAGCCTGACGTATGAGTCACAGCCTGGTTGATCAGGTATCCTTTGGAGGTGCTTATCCAGTTCTCTCTTGAACACTGTGAGGGGTTTGCCAGTTATGCCCCTTATGTGTAGTGGAAGCGTGCTGATATGTATCTCTTTAGAATTTGGCATCAGTCGATGTGGGTGGAGTTCTTGACCAACCAGGAACCACGAGCCAGAACCTGGCCCCTCAGAGAGGTACGAGGAGCAATTTCCTATAGAAATGCATGTGTGATTTGGGAGTATTCTATATCTGCCATCGACTGGGACAGGCACCCAGAAAGGTAGGCGCCCCAAAACAAACCCCTATTCTGATTAAAAACAACGAAAATAGACAAACGAGTGGACAGAACTCCTCAAATGAAAACGAGCAAACGAGCATGATGTCACACGAGCTGTGTCGCATGTCTGCGCAGGTCCCCCCCTCCCCCGGAGGGGAAAGGGAGAGCCCCAGACCCCCGCGCCGGCGATCCACACCCCATTTCTTCGGTTGACGTGATACGGCATGGTCATGTGGCTCCAGCTCCAGACTCTTGTGTTGTGCTGTTCTGTGGTTCAGTACTGCTCTTACGGTGGCATGCAAGCTAGGAGAAATATTCACAGGTACTCGGGCTGCATGTGCTTAGGGTCACCTTCCCTGAGTGCTCTGTAAGTACCACCCTTGGGGCTTAGAGGGTTCTCTTCCACAAGCCATCTTGGGTCTATCTCTGGCAGTATGAAGTTTCTTGGCAGTCCTTCAAGATCTTTCTGACCCTTCATCATGTTAACTCTATTTCTGATTGGATTGCCTTGTACGTTTTTTCGTGGTTGTTTCAGGATCGTCATCTTATGCTGAACACTGTTGCCTCGTATCGTGCGGCGTTGGCAGAGCCGCTGCAGCTGGTGTTTAGTGTTGATGTTACTTTGGTGCCATTCCGTAAGCTGTCTCGGGCGTTGTTTCACCTCTGGCCTGCTCATGCGCTGCCTGAGCCGTCCTGGTCTTTGGATCGGGTACTCTACTTTCTCTCTTCCCCTCGGTTTGTGATGGCCCCTTCAGTTCCAGATTGTTTGTCGATGGCTCTTTTCCTGTTGGCATTGCCCTCTGGGAGTCAGGTCGGGAAGCTTCATGCTCTCCTCCGGTGCAAGGGGTTTCTGCTTTTTTGGATTAGGTGATCGTTTTGTTCGGCTGGAGCCGTCTCCTTCTTTTCTGGCGAAGAATGAGACTGCTACTTTCTGGAGGGGCCCGTGGGTTGTTGATGCCTGGTTGATGAGACCAGGGATGCATCATGTGTTGTGTCCGGTTGCGGTTTTACGCTGTTATTTGAGCGCCACGGCCTCGGTGACCGGGGACGCGTTTCAGGTTGACCCCGGTTTCCCTTTTTTCCTCTTCCCGAGTTCGGGTCTCCCAGGTCATCTGCAGGGTTATTCGGTCCAGCCAGTCTGCAGGGTTATTCGGTCCAGCCAGCCTGCGGTTTATCCCCGTGCCCATGACGTTCGTAAGTTTGCTGAACTTGCTGCCGTTTTCGGTAACATGTCTTGGGCTGACATTTGGGCGCGGGGCTTTTGGAGGTCGAACAGGGCCCTGGCTGCTTGCTACCTGGTCAATGTCCCGTGGGCCTGGTCAGGCCTGTGTTGGGTCAGCGGTTGCAGCCAGTTGTCTTGACTTCACGTTGAGATGTGGGGAATGACCCCCGCCCGGGTATACGTCTCTTTTTCTGTGGGGAGCCCCTACAGCTCCCTGGAGCTTATCGGGCTAATGTATGTTATATTAGACTGGGACATTAACTAAGGAGTTCAGACCTACCAGGGGCCAGTGCCAGAACCTGGCCCCTTCAGAGAGGTTTTAGGGAGCAATGGCCCTGGAAAACAATGATAAAGTTAAGAAGAAGACTTCTTCTTCTTAACTTTATCATTGTGTTCATTGCTGTCTTCTTTGATGTGGTAGTCATATGCTGTATTGTACCTACTAATTTTTGTTAAACTACCATTCAAGCTGTCATTGCAATCAATCTGAGCTACCTATGTGCCTTAATATACCTACAGTTTTCTGTGGGGAGCCCCTACGGCTCCCTGGAGCTTATCGGGCTAATGTGTGTTATGTTAGACCGGGACATTAGCTAAGGAGTTCAGACCTACCAGGGACCAGCGCCAGAACCTGGCCCCTTCAGAGAGGTTTCAGGGAGCAATGGCCCTGGAAAACCCCATATGGTTGGGGGTTTTCCTTATCTGCCATCGACCGGGGTTAGGCACCCAGAAAGGTAGGCGTAACAAAACAAACCCCACATGGTAAGAAACTACAACAAAAACCGAACAGAGAGGTAGAAAACTCCCTACAATCCCAAGGAAACAAGCAAACAAGCAAACATCACACTTTACTGCCGCGCCGATCGTCCGCGC